CTGAAATTCTCTCTCTCTCTCTCTCCTGGTGGCTGGCACTTGGAAACTTCTCTCCCAGTCAGTCCCAGCTGTAACACCACCACCAACCACTGTCTTCATCATCACCACCGCCATCAACATCCCTCTGAAGACCTTCCCTCCTTCGCATAGAACATATTAAAGCTTTTTGGAGCACAATCACAATGCAGCAGCTGCAGGTCTTCAAATAAACCCGACCGGTACTTAATTTTTTGTATTTTATAGTTTTGAATTTTGAATTTAATTTTATTCTATTTTTGGCAGACGAGGACAGTCCAAGTAAAACAACTATCAGATCTAGCTAGTGATAGAGAAATTCACGAGTTCTTCTCATTCTCTGGAGAAATCGAACGCATTCAGATCCAACGGTACGCTTTCTTTCTTTCTTTATTTTTCTTCTTTAATTTAAAATTTTAGTTTTTTTATAATATTATTTTTTATCTAAACACTGGGTTTTTTCAATTTGTTTGGCTGCCGAGAAAATTTAAGGAAAAAACAAGGAGAAGAACACTTTAATATTTTCCCTGGTAATTTTCAAAGGAAAAAAAGGTCAAAAAGTAAAAGGGAAGAGTCAGCTTAGACAAAATATGTATTTACTTAAACGCATGCATACTTTAATCTAGCTATTTTAAAGTATATTTTAACTTTCCAGTTTTTTTTTTTTTTTTTTTTGGGGGGAAAATTTTTTGAAAATAAAAGAAAAAAGAATTCACTTGGGTTTATTTTCATAAATTTGACTTAAAGCCAATGTAACCAAGTTTTTTTTTTCTTTTAATTTTACCATCTTTCTTGCATGTACTGAGCAACCAAACCAAACCAGTTGTAAGTGTTTCTTGCGATTATTAATCTTGTTTTTTGAATTGGATGTGTGCAGTGAGCCTGGACAATCAAAGACTGCATTTGTTACTTTCAAGGATCCCAAAGCTCTTGAAATCGCGTTGTTGTTATCGGTATTTTCTCAAATTTTTTTTTAACTTTCTTGCAATTGAAGTCAGTGCCTTATAATTAAACTTGAGAAAAGAAGCAGCTTATTGGAAGCAAGCCTCTAATTGAACACTTCTCTTTAACTTCAAGCTAGGCTTTTTGTGCTTTTAGTTTAATGCTCAATGTGAGTTGCTTTGGAAAGCAATAAAAGTACGCGAGGACAAAATTGGTCATTCGGTAATACAAAAATAAATAATCAAATTTTATTTCATTCCAAAAGGAAGATATTGGTGTATCAGAAACTTGAAACTAAGATAATGAGTCAAGGTCAGTCTTGCAGTGTGGTTTCTCAGTTGCTGCGTATCTTACACTCCTGTACACATTGTTTAATCTTTTAGGATTACTTTGAATCTTGGAATCCTTATAGGCCAAAATTCTTTATCTCCCCCTTCTTTTTCTGTATACAATGAGGTGATAGACAGTAAGAGATATAAAGAAAGCAAAATAAGCATAGAGTTTTTTCCTATAAATAAATCAAAAGCACAGAATTGTTCATTCAAGTTCTTGTCCCCCATTTTCCATTTTTTGGTGAATAGAGAACTAATTAAATGTGAGGAGTAGCTATAAAAAGTGATATATGTTAATATAATTTTATATTTAAAGAAAAGGCAGTTTCCATGTTTGTTGTTGAATGTTGATTGCATGCAATATTCTCTGTTCAAATGGTATAATTGTATGGAAAGTATCTTACTCAATCTATGTCTTTCTAGATGTTTGATCTAAAGTTCTCACATTATCAGTGTACTTGTGCCTTATCTTCTTATTTTCCATGACATCAGCTGAATAAGCATTTTCTTCATTTAAAATGGTTTATAGGTTTTGAACTTGCGTTTTGGATTCCTTTTCAATGAGCATGTATTTCTGCTCTTTGGCTCTATGTAATGAAAACTGTGTGTTTGGTTGCAGGGAGCAACAATAGTAGATCAGATCGTGATTATATCTCCAGTTGAAAATTATGTACCAAAAACTGAGGTGCTGGTAAGCTTCATTTAAAAGTTTCTGCAATCTGTTTCTTTCCTGCAGCCAAAACTTTGTAGTTCATTTGTGCAATTCATGCAGGAAGTAAGGATGGTGGAAAGTGCTGTTTGTGCTGCTCCTGGTGGAATTCTTTCACCAAATGCTGAGGTAGCCATTGACACCACCACATATCTCAAGGTGTTAAGAATCTGACCTAGTTGAAGAAATTTCATATGTAGCTAATTAAGTACATTTTAGTGGATATTAGAATATTCTGGAAATGGAAAAATTGTGAGTTGGCATTTAAAAATCCCTCGTGTGGTATTATAAACCTTACATCACTATATAAGATCTTTACTACTGTGGAAATTTAATGTTGATACACAAGGGTCCTCAGGTGTGTCACTCTCTTTATTCCTTTGGTGTCACTCTCTTTATTCCTTTGGTGCATTCCAGCTTCCGAATGAGCGAAAGAATACATGACTTAATCATTTGAAATGGAATGTTTTTTTTTCCAACTTACGTATCTTTCTGCCTTATAGATTATAGAATACCTATTAGCACATCCATTTACTGGATTGTGACTGTTTCTAGTTTTTGGTCTATCTTGAATATTATGATACTTACACGCTTATTTTCCCAAGACGTCCAGTCATAACGTCCAGTCATTGCCTTATTGTTGTTTACTTTCAAAGTTTCCAATTTTATGGGCTCAGGGTAAATATGTCTCTGTTAGCAGGATAGAAATAGCTCGCCTACCAATGGAAGGGTGTATGTTAATAGAGCACAAGATGTGGTGACCTGTATTGTCGCGAAAGGTTCAGCTATTGGACAAGATGCCGTGAACAAGGCTAAAGCATTTGATGAAAAACATCGGTTGACAGCAAGTGCATCAGAGAAGGTTATTTCCTTTGACAAGAGAGTGGGTCTCACAGAGAAATTAACAGTAGGCTTTTCCGTGGTTAATGAGAAAGTGAAGTCTGTTGATCAAAGGCTTCATGTCTCAGATAAAACAATGGCAGCAATATTTGCAGCAGAGAGAAAATTGAATGATACGGGGTCAGCTGTCAAAACAAGCAGGTATATGAGCACTTTAAAAAATATAATCTGCCAATCTATTTTGCACTTTTCTGCTGCTGTTAATTATTTCATACGTTCTGTAAGAATGATGCTGAAAGTGCAAAATGAATTATCTGCAAATAACGAGGGCAGTCGTATGCATTTTTCATTTGTTTAACTTGAAGCCTGTTTCCTTGGGCCATCCATGGACCCTGTTTCTTTGAAGTTTTTGAGGGTACTAGGCTTAGCTTATTTCAGTAGGAACTACACATTCTCTAGACACCAAAATAACTCGCAAAGGCCACTTCTATATACTGTATGTTGAGAATATAAATCTATATTGGGCATTCTATGCCTTGAATCATAATGTATAAAATCCGGACTCCATTGCCAATTGTTCTAGGTTGGATGCCACAACTTTGATGTGCATACAAATACCAGGATCTTTACCCCAAGTAGCACTCATTCTGATGTGGCTTTTGTTCCTTGGATTCTTTAGAGTTTCAATTTGTAGGTTCTTTGCTTTCTTATTTTCTTGTTCTTCACAAACTTACTATTAGTAGAGGATGGATATGTGAACTCTGTATCTATAAAAAAAAAACATTAACTTTTCGCAGCCCTCTCCCCACAACTTGTTTTATGTTTCTATGGTCTTGTATCTACCCCTCATAAAAATGAAAACCTGTAGAGAAATTTGTAAAATGACATGAAAATTGGAAGACATGATAGAGAATTTGTAGTCAGGACGAGCCACTTTAATGACCTCTCTAGAGTGATTTCATTCCAGCAGAATCATTTCTATTGATAGATGAGAATAAAACCGAGAACAATGTCTGTTGACAAACTCTTGTATGGTGTTGACAGGTATGTGACTGCTGGAGCAGCCTGGTTAAATGGTGCTTTTGGTAAGGTGGCAAAGGCAGGACAGGCTGCAGGTACGAAAACCAGAGAAAAGTTCCATATGGCTGTGTCAAACTTGACTGCAAAGGTAGGTTACGTCGCTATCAGTATTACATTATTGCTCCTATTATGTTTGTATTGTATGATTTTTTATTTCCTGGTAATCATGTGATGGCACTTTTATGTGAAAACCTAGAATTTGTATTAATACACCTTATGTTGCTGCGTTTCCACCCTTAAAAGGGCCACAAAGCCATCCCATCTTTTTGTAGGTTGACTTTAAGAATTAAGTTCCCCTGTTTATCTGTTGTAATTCTGGTTAAATTTTGCTAGAAACTTCAGAGAGTTATCATTTAGAATGAAAAGATGATTAAGCAATTAAAATATGACTAATTACTAGAAATATTCTTAGGTGCACTATAATTATTTTAGGTAAATGTATTATAATCTGAATCCAGAAGCGAAGTGATTTTATGCTTTGTTATCTTGTAATTATGCCTTTCTCCTGATATGCAGGAACCTCCAATTGCTGCATAAGCCAAAGGATTTGAGGTGGCAGAAACTAACCTCGACGCGCATTCTTTCATGAACACATTCGACAACCATGTTGCTCTAGTGATCAATTTGAGGACAGATGTCCCCCAAAACAGATTGCAGGTTTGGTATGGATTGGGATGAATCATGCAAGCTCCCTTTATGATTCACTCTGTATGGTTTGATGTGTGCACTCAAGTTTTGCATTCATTTTTATTTTTCTTTATATCAATTCAATTCATAGGGTATTGAGCCTGTGGCTTCATTTGTAATTTTTCTGTAAGTTTGTTGAGTGAAAGAACTTATATGTTATATATGTAAAAAGAACGGAAAAGGCAATTGGATTGAGAAGAAAGAGGTCAGAATCGTGAGGACATGTTGCTTTCTGTTTTTGCGAAGGACGTATTTTCTGTTTATTTACTACTTGATATTGTGATTTCTTTTTTAATTTTGACAATTTTATATGATTTCTATCACGCTATAGTTTGCTTTTGGGTAAACCAACCAATAAATATATATTATATATGTAACCAGATGCCAAGGCCATTGAATGGTTTAGGGGAATTGATCATCAATAAGGGGAATTACTTGGAATTGATATGCTAATTGATTGGGTAGGATTGGTTAAGGTGAAATCGGATGCTCGTGTCTCTCTCTTGGTTTTCCTAAATCTCGTGTCGTGCGACTTTGTCTTTCGTTTTAATTGCTTTATTTAATTTTAATTTTTTTCAATTACAAATTCAAATCAATTTCATCCATTAAAGTTTCTCAATTTAAAATTAGTTTCAGTTTAATTGGTAGGAATATTAAGAATGTAATCAATCCTTGTGGTGCTTACTTAGCTATATCACTTTTGATTCGTATACGTGCGAGTATTAAAATTTGATTAAGTTGGTAAAACTTGAGTGGGGCTCACAGGGAAATTAATGTTGACATGTATCTTATGTTGGCGAGATATCTGGACATTTGGTCTCAAGACAAAATTGACAGATACTTTGCCCTCACATTTCTGGAGACCTTGACTTAAAGAAAGAATGGGCGGAAACTTGGCTCCACAATCCCAAACATTCTTTCTTTCTTTTTTGTACTAATATCTTATAATTAGAAATATATATTGTAATTAGGAATATTTACTTTCCTTTTTCTTTCCACTACTAATAACATTTAGGTCTTTTGAGTTAAAAACAGAATTACGTGGTGATAAAATAAAATAAAAATGACAACCAAAGTGATATATTTTTATTTATTTATTTAAGAAATAGAACTCATTCATAGAATCAAGATAGCATACATAAAACAACACGAAACAGTAGCCTCGTTAAAACCTTCATGAGGGACCAACCTTAGGTTAAGAAAATCTACCACACATATCATGGACTAACAAGAGAGCCTGAAACAATCACGTAGAACCAAAGCTAGAACAAGAAAAGAAAAACAACAGACTGACACATAGACCTCCGACGAGAACACTACAACACAACCTAACTATCAAAAGAGTCATGCTATGAAATCATAGTCCTTTGCACAGCCACAAGATAGTGAGAGCATCCGACAGAGAACACACCAATACCCCAGGAAAAAGGAAACAGCCACTAAGTACCCCATCTCCAGTCACCTCCAAGAGTAATGACGATGAAAGGAGAAGAAGACATAAGGAACAACACCAAGACAAGACCAACTCCGCAAATAGGCCAGGAAAAGAAAAGAAAATAACAAGGTCTCCCCAAGCACGTCGTATCATGTCAACAGTGGCAAAGAAAACTCCTATGAAACCATAGTTCTTGAAATAGGCGAAGAATCAAAGGTCAGCGAAAGGGAGAAAAGAAGAAGACACCACGCAACAATAACAAAACTGGCCTCAGCCACTTAATCCTAAATATGGGGATCAAACTCAAGAGCATTCGCCGGATGCCAAGCCAGCGAATGCTCTAAGAACACATTAAGGAAGGCTTCTGGAAGACTCCACTGGGCCAGTGTCTTCATAGGTTTGTTAGTAGGGACAACAAGGCACAAAGGCTTGGAAGCCATGAAATCTACCCCAGAAACCCAGATATCTCCAGCTGAAACGGGTGCAACTAGAGTTTTACACTTAGCATGAGTCTTGATGGAGACACAACAGGAGCCCTCTCCTTTCTTAGGTCTGCCATGATCCCCTTTTGGTGAATGACTGGCAGAGAACTAGATAATGGGCATAAGATTAAAGGGATCAGAAGTTGTCGAACCTTTGAGGGGCTGGGGGAGGTGCTTGAGAGATGGGATCATTTAACGCTGGAACTACTAGAGCCACATAGATGTCTGGCTCATTCAGGGAAACTGGCGGAGAACGTGTCACAACATCTGAACTCTCAAACTGACGTCAAAGAGAGGCGATTGCGTCAAGCAATGTATGATGGAGAGGTAGGGCCGAGAGGAGGGGGAGGGAGGCGGTCCATTCATGAGAAGACCACCACCAAGACCGAGTGTCAGAACTACTACTATCACTCAAAGCATCATTTATCTATAAACCAAATTGTTAAGGAGAATGAACTGGAGTCTTATGTGGGGGTGAAGGAGTCAATGTAAGGTGTGCGGAAGAACCTATAGAATTGCCCCGCAAGTTGGTACCACCTTCTAGATCAACAAAAGCAGAGGAAAATTGTGCCAACAAAGATGGAGTGAGAGAACTCTGGGAAAGCTCATACTTATCAATACACACCTGAGTAGGATGACCAATTTTTCCACACGCAAAACAATTTTCAGGGAGATACTCATACTTAAAACCCACTATTGACTTGCTCACCTCAGGAAATGTAACAGGTGTTCGGTGGTTAAGAGGTTGGGTGACATCAAACCTTAAACAAATCCGGATAAAATGCCCTACACAATAAGTACCATCACGATTATCCACCCAAAGAACTTCTCCAAGAATAGCCCCAATTGCTTTAGCAACAATGATAGTCGTGCAGAAGGTAGGAACACCATGGAGTTGAACCCAAAAGGTACCAAGAGTTAAGAGCAAGATGTCCATATTCCCATGATCCAGGATATCAGCCAACAAAATCAATGGGCGTCGAAAAGCCTAGGGCTCCATATCAAGAACTCGCTTCTTATCGCGATCACAAACAAAACACACCCAAAACCTGTTGAAACCAATTTCTTTAATAGAGACATCATCATAGCCTTTCCAAAGTTACATAAAGATTTTAATAAAGCCAACACGATTGACGGGCTGATCTGTAAGGACCCGAGCCACAAGACCATAGATAAAACCAACAAAAATGTTTGCAATGTTAGAAGAACCAATAACCAAACCACCGTATTCACCTGGCGTAAGTACCAAGCGGCTACCAAAGGATTGCTCAATATCTGCCACATACGTAGATATACCAAAATAATAGACAAACCACCAAACATCAAGAAAGGGAAAAGACAAGAGCAAACGAATGAGTCCCCGAAGAATGAGAAAGATTAACACGATGACGGACTGAGATAGTGGTGTACAGTTCTGATGTCAACAGTGCAGACGTGATTGGGCAGGGAGGATCGGGGCGATGAGGCACGCACGACGATGGTAGAATGAGTGAACGAGAATGATGAAGATGGTGGAAGGTGATTGAGCGACTGAAGACGATGGACCAAGAGAAGGAAGGCGAGCACGACTGAGTGCGAGGAGATGACCTTGCGAGAGAGAAGAAGCGACGTGAACTGAAAGTGGCGAGATGATGAATGGACGCAAGATGAAATTCTAGAAAGGACGCAAGGCTCTCCTTGTGTAACAAGAGAGCAACCTTATTCGACCTCGTACTTGCATATCTCTATACTATTGTTGATTCGTGCACTAGCAGTAATTTAATTTGTGATTTTTTTAATATTCTTTTCTAGGTGTTCAAAAGTCTACATCAAGAAAAGAATATTGAAAAACTTGATATAGATTTTCGAACACATAGAAAAGAATATTAAAAAATCACAAATTAAATTGCTCGTAAGGGCATGAATTAACAATAGTACAAAGATATGCAAGTACGAAGTCAAACCAACAAGGATTGATTAAACAAGTTAATCAATTAAATTGCACTAAATCTAATTAAACAAATGATTGATTGAACTAAAGTTGAAAATAACTTAAAACCCAAAATAAATAAAACACACGATATTTAAAGGGATTGAAAACCAATTTATAAAAGCACTAGGACATCGAATCTACCACTAATAATGCAATCTAGCCTCTTAATTACCTATATGTTAATTTATTCAATTGATGTTGTTGCATGAACTACCTATGGTATTTAGGCTAACTCATATATTCCTACATGTAATTTGTTTGTAGTATTTAGTACAAATATGAACACATAGAAACTCTTTTGAGCTTTGTGAAAACCTTTGATAATCATGTAGATCCCAGGAGTATCGTATTTATTGTTTGTCACCCTAAGGTATTGTTTTAAATCTATAAAACTCGCAAGCGCATGAATCGATTGTAGAATAGGCATGTGTAAGTGTGAGGTCATACCCACAGGGAGTGCGTGAAAAAAATGGAAAACTAATCCAACCCAACTTAATTCAATTGCTAACCTAGTTGATTCAAAGTTTGATTTGTTTGTTGGAAAAGAAAATGAAATAAAGCATAGAATTGAAAATGCAAATAAACTAAAATAAGGTTTAAATGAATTAGAAAAATAATTGTAGGGGCTTTTTTGTTCCCGCAGCTACTGATAGGCCTGAGCTACTGTAAAGAGCCAAATGTGTGAAACTGCCTCGGAGTCTAAGTTCAAGAATTAGACCCCAAGCTGAGCCTTAGGAAACACATTGGTCTTCTTCACCAATGAAACCAACAGTTGCTTACAGATAAATTCTTGGCTTGGCTTGAAAGGCTTGTGGCATGGAAGCTAAGCATTTATGAGTTTAGCATGAGAGAGAGAAAGACCAGATTTTCTACAAGAAGCAAAGGTTTAAAGCAAAGGATTTTGTGAGAATTTGCTTAGGAGAGAGAAAGAAAGAGGTTAGGGTGGAAGAATGGATGCTTTGGGTAATTTTTCGGCAGCTCGACAAAGGGTTTGTCAAGCTCTGGAATGGCTTGCCAGAGGAGAGGATTGGGAGAGATGGAGGAATAGGGCTTGAAATTGGACCTTCCAGCAATGAGTAAGGATGTTGCTTGCTCTGGATTAGTTTGTCAGAGGACAAAAAGGAAATAGATGGGAGAATAGAGCTACAAAATTGGAGAGTTCCAGTAGTGAGAGAGGATGCTTGCTCTTCCTGGATCTCCCCGGATTTCATGATCTGCTGGGTAGGAAATGCCCCTTTTTATAGGCGTTGGACCACTCAATTTTATCAAGCCACGCTCTCCCATTTTCCTTCATTTTCTTCCATTCCATCTTATTTGGTGAAACTTTCCCAGCA